GATCGCTTCTCATGTTATCGAACAATGTACACCTAAAGGGACACCGTTTCAAACTACTGACTCCAAAGTCTCGACTGAATTTCCGGCGCCAGTCTTTTGCAGTTAGAGTTTGCAAATCTTGGGACGCCCTTCCATCTCATGTCGTTCGTGCACCCACTATTGAATCTTTCAAGCAGAGACTCGACATAACCTTGGCACACCTCACCTCACATTCGTACACTAAAGGCAAACGGAAATTCACTGTATCCAACATTCTCTATCTCCTACCAGGATCTCTATGCGACTCCTTTTTCGATGTGTAACGATTCATCTATGTAAATATCCTATGGGACAAGAGAAGCCACCAGCTTGTAAGCTATTCCCATAATAAAACTTTGACTTTGACGTGCAAATGGTTGCTGGTATCCTTTTCCATATGGTACCAGTAGAGAGCTGAATCTCCCAAGGTCTTTTTTGGCTCCATCTTTTCACTGCGTATACAAATGAGCTGCGCTCGTTATGTAGTCACCTTGTTTGATTGACATAGATCACCTGAAGCTATCAAGAGTCATCAGGTGTTTCGATAGAAACTGATCGCTTCACGAGGACCTAGGCAGTTTGACAACCTTGGTGGAGAGATGAACTCTTAGGGCAGACTGACGGATATCGAGTCCATAGGTGATGGAGCCGAAGTCAGACGGAGAAAATCACCAGTGACACTGAAAACGGAGGAATACGCAAATCGGGTGTATAAATCAGTGCAAAAAATGGTAGGTCCAACCCGACGATCCTTCGGAAGATAGTATCTTCTTTTCCTCAAGTTACATGCATGCCACACGAGACGATAATGAGAACATGAAGTGGTTGCGGTTTTTTCATGTACGATCAGAATACTAGTGAAACGAGAAATGATACTTTTCAACTTTCATTTTGTTATAGCCAGTTATAGCCATGCATATGACACTGATTTTAATTTTCAGTGCAGTTGGCACAAAATATAGACAGGAAAAACATCAGCCCGATGTACGAAGATGCTTCGAACACAGTATTAATGTGAAACCACTTTTCGTAATAGTTCTGACGTAAAAAGATATCCTCGAAAATAGCTCAAGTAACTATCCCGAAAAACCGTTGACAACATCCGCATAATGGGACTTTTCATATTGACCATGGAACAGTTTCTGTGCTACTCTAGTCTTACCCACTAATTACCAATAATTCTAACTGTTAAGGCTATGTACTCCTGGTATTGACATTTAATTTACTGGTATTTACAGTTGTACTGTTTCTCATGCGCAACGGATAATGATGGAAGTATGCGATTATTTAATCAGCCATAACCCAACAGTTGTTGGTAAAAAATATGCAAAATCCTCCAGCTGTACAAACCGAAATGGGTATTGATAGTTGTCAAGGTAGGCGGTTTCATCTAACGAAATTTGTGGGTATACAACTTTCAAGTCAATGTTGGAAGAGACCTCTGAACGAGTTAGCTTTTTCATACTGTCCTCTGGTTCAAAAATTATACAAGTCTGTTTTAACAGTTTTGGATTCAGGTTGATTCAGTAGTCTCCAAATATTCCGCGGGTCTTACTATCCGATTTGAGTGATGTGACGATCAATGTACCCCATGCTGAAGGTGCCACCCTCTGTATAGCGCTTTTGGAGCACAATTTGTTCAGTGCATTCATGACAGGTTCACCAAGGCCATATGGCATAACTCGGTGTTTGAGAAAAACTGGATCGCCATTGACTAGTAGTTTCATAGGGAGAATTTTCATGCCACCACTGGCCTCTGAGCATTTAATAATCAAATCTTTCAATTCATTTTCAGTATCGATAGAGGTCAACAAGGAAATATTGATATTTAATGCTAGCATAGCTTTTAAGCTTAATATGGAGGGGCCAGACTTGAATACGATGAATGTACAGGTAGCACTTTTAGAATGTTCATCACTGAGTGAAATCTCACAAGAACCAGAAACAGGCAATGAATGTCCGGTCATACCATTTATGGTGACAATGGATGGCTGCAGGTTAGCATCTGGAGCAAACAATTTTAAACCATGAATAGAAATTAGAGACTCCACACTACCAGTGTCCACAATTAAATGAAGTGAGTTACCAGTGAAATTGAATAGTTGTTTACGAATGTGACCCGAGTGAAAGGTAATTGCCAAAGACAAAGAAGAAAAATGTTTTTCTGTCACTCACTTCTGAGTTGTGGGACTGAATTGAACGACAAGTTTCTATACTGTGACACAGACTGAATATGACTAGTTTTACCACACTTGTTACATGAAGCGTCATCATCATCATCATCATCGTAAGGCGAAATACAGTGGAACGAACTTCACTGATTGCTGCCAAACTCGTAATGCATACAATGTTAGTGGTAAAATGTAAGATGGACAGAGATTGGATCTACTTTGAGGGAGGCGGAAGAAGGAGAGCTACTAAGATCAACACAGATTGCGCAATCGAACTCTGCACACATACCATATCAAGCATTCGGGACTGATAAGAAATGACAACAAGAACGTCGCTGCTATCGGATCGCTGCAACATCCCTCAATGTATCCAACCATTCAGTTGCGGGGTCTTTCGGACCCCAACCTGAAAGGCGCGTGACACCTAATCTACCTAATGGCTCAGTACATTTCTTCGTGCCACGTCTACTCGTCATCTGTTGGCATCCACGTGGATTCCTCCAGCCCGGAGCGGCTACGGCGAATGAAGCGTGACAGGATCGAAATGCGAATCTGGAATGGCGTTTGCCGCAAGATGAACAATTGACATGGAGCTTACCCGAAGATGTCACATTATTTCAGTGAGATTGTGGAACTAGTTTTAAATTTCCGACTGCGGCATGAACTTTTGTGGATTTGGTTTTGAGTGAACATGGCCGTAGATTTGACAGGTGATGGTATAGAAGAGGGAGCGGCGCGAACGTCCTCCCAGGTAGCAAGTCGTCCGCTAATAACCTGTTATAGTTTGTACACAGACTAATAATTCGCGTACGTATCGAAATCCGCGCAGTAATAGTGCAACCCAGAACCGGAACTCGAAATGAAATCAGAGCACAAAACTCAACAGCGGGATCGAACTGTAATCAGCGGAAAATCGGAACGGACAAGGATATAGTGTTCAATAAAACAAGGGACTTCATAGTTCATGAGCAATCACCACATCCGCCGCAGCTTGAATGAAGCTCAGGTGTTCTGTAATCACGGAGGGATTTGTTGAGTAATCGTTCGGATTTCCTGGGAACATCTGTACTATTTTCAATATTTGGAATGGGATGTAATTATTCTGAATATGATTCAGAAATACCAGGATTAGTGGGTTCACAATTAGCATCAGGATTGGGCAAATCACAAATCACTTGGTTTACGTGCCTACGATGTACAGTGCTATCGTCTAGGTCCAATATGCGACACATTTTCTGTCCCATATGGTGTGGTACAATGCCTCTGGAGGGTAGCAAATCGCTACCATGGTGATACACTACTTCCGCAGAAGAAGATTTGTTCGAAGTACTCGACTCTTGAACAGCTTTGCTGGACTGTGCCCCGTAGTTGAATGTACTGTGTTGCGGTATTGCATCAGAAAGTTATCGACGTTTCTGTCCAGTTTATTGAATGTACTGGGATTCACAAAAGCAAACGCACTGTTCAGTGTGTGTACAAAGTTTTCGGTGGTGTCACTGGATTGTGGATGTTGGGGTGGAGTGAGAACATGCCAACAGCTCACGGAGTTCAACCTGTCGGTAGCTTTCTTAGCAGTATAATGACTTCCATTTTCAGTCACAATAACATGCGGGACACCTTCTGTACTGAACGTTTTCCTGAGTGCTCGAATGGTACATTCTGCAGTGGGTGAAGTAGTAAAGTAGACTTTCGGCCAACGGATATAGATGTAGTGACCATATTTGTACGAAGAAAAGGAGCAATCCACGAGGACGTTTTCCGTTCACATTTTCTTCACAATCAACTCTGACTCGAACTGTGATATTTTCTTTGTCTTACTTCTGTTTGTTTTACCGAGCACGGTTTTCCGCTCGGGCGTATATATATGCTGGGTCCTGTTCAAACCCACGCTACACGTGTGACACGCTATCGCTCTGCTACTGCATTTGTTGCTTGCTTTGTTTAGCGTCACCTTGGCACGTTTCGAAACCATCTAGTACCACGATTCGCCAATAAACGTCTACNTGTCTACTTCGGGCAACGAGACACTAGGAGGTCGCGCGCATACTGAGACTCGTAAGAAGACATACCGGAAGGCCGTCAACTCTGGTTAGCTTCATAGGAATCGATGATCACCAATGCGTAATACTTGTCGAATAGTGGACCACAGTAATCCACACATTCGTTTCCAGAACTCGGAAGATACTGGTCGCGGAGTCCATTTCGAGGGTTGTCTGTGAGTTCTGGGCACACAATCAGCACAGGATTTTGCAACACGATTCAATCCAGGCCAGCAACAAGTGAGACGGGCAAGTGACTTCAGCTTTTCACTGACAAGATGACCGAAATCTAGGTCATTCAGGATAGCGTACGTAATGCGATCATTGTAACATAAGACACTACAGAAATTTTGTTCACGAAGTTTATAGAATTCCCGAAATCGACGCTTGATATCACTTCGCCAACCTTGACCGACACAGAAACTGATAGAATGATAGTACTTCTCGGTCTCGCGAACTAAATCAGATTGGCTTACCGCGAACGGTTGAGTGAGTAGACAATCATCCGTAGAAGCCTAATATGAAATGGCACAGCGTGATAGATAGTCTGCATGAGGAATGGACTTTGCCCTCCGATGATGGATGCCGTACAAATAGGCAGACAACGCAATAAGTATTGCGTTGGAGTACTTCCTCGTTGCATCATGGCTGCAGATGACTTCGCCAGGGAACGTTGGGGCTTGTAAATGAACTGTCAGGCTTCATGGTCACTCCCAATGATGAAATGCGTACAACAAGGATACTTATGCACACGCGTGACGTGAGGCAAACCGGATTCGGGTTTGACGCTAGTATATGCTTTCTTTTACGTACCTGTAGTAACATTCTTTTCATTTTCTATCGCCATTCCCGTGATCAGTGTAAATACCCCATTTTGTTTTATTGTCCTCCTTTTCGAGAACTCTTATGACTTCGACCCTGGCACAATTTCCGGTGAGTTGTATCGTGCGCCTTGATCTCTGTACATTTTCTGCTGCAGGTCACATACACTTCATACGCTCGTACCCGACCTCCTTCTCAATTCGTTCTTGCCTTGGGAAACCTCGTCATAAGCCCGAACGATTGAATACGAAGATGCGTCATAGCTTCAGCCCGATAGTATCCGTGCTAAATTGGTGAGCCCGAATTTTTTAACCCATTTTTAGCACCGTACGGCTGATATTTCTCAGTGAGTCTGGTGCTCCGCACAAACAATTTTAATTTTGCGTATACGTTTATTATTTATTTTACATTTTTGACGATTTCATTGCAAATATCACTTTTATTCTCTGCGTACCTATTTTTGTCGTCGCAAAACTACGTCTTTCGGATTTTGCGTTTCGTAGCTATTGATATCGTCGAGATTTATTTTGTTCATTCGTTTTTCGTGCACCAGTGTCCTGAGATGTACGTTCATTCGGGCTTGATATGATTCATTTACTTATTTACTTGAACCCTCAATCTTTGTCATCATGTTTAACTTATATCCTGAGGGTAAAGAGAGCAGTACTAGCGCAACACAAGACGAGACAAGCGTGTTGGGTCTGCAGGCGCGTATACCCGAGTTTATTCCCGAAGACCCCGAGTTTTGGCTAGCCCAGATGGAAGCC